AAAAGAAGTTGGTAAAATTGTGGACCAAACTAAGGATCAAGGGATAATGAAAATATATTGTCAGAGCAATGATCAATGGATCCTCTCTCTCTCTATAAAATGGAATCATCACTTGAGWTTTTACAATTAGGAACTTAAGCAACCCACAATCTTTAACAAAAAACAAAAGAGGATAAATTAAGAAAGATTATTCTGTACTGAAATATGTGTGCATCTCATTTTAGGGCAAACCTATATTCATAAATGGAGGTGCAAGAGATGAATGAAGAGGACGGATCAAGAACCGAGAAAACACAAGAGGGCCAAACCTCTATTAATAAAGTGTATTGTGAAAGAATAGATATCCATTTCCTAGAATTAATATTCATTTCCCATGTCATTTTATCGTGCAACATAAAGCTATGAGAATATATATATATATATATATATATATAGGAAATCATCTATTTTCCTTCATTTTGTGTGCAACAAAATAGAGCAATAATATATTACGGATTTCATACCAACTATCCATGAAGACCTTGTCCTCACAAAGTAGAACCAAAGAGGCGAGCGAGACTCCATCCTTGTTCCGAGTGAGAAATTTGCATACAGGTGCTAAAGCATAATGCCTTTCTACTCGACCATTCTCTCTTTTGATGAGAGAGCATTTTAGAACAGAAAAGCTAGCAAGGAGACGCAACATACGATCAACCATCGTTGGTGCATCTGGGTTGTGTGTTTGCAGGTGTGAAGCAATATCCCAAGGCGAGAGATATGCACCAGGGCCAGCTGAAGATATGATCTCAAGCAATTCTAGCTCTATAGCTGCTTTCAAGACCATTGGAAGCACAGAAGCACCGGCCAATTCTGTGGCGAAGGCATAAATTTCTTCGTCGTCGTCTTCGACTAAGGATTTTGCACGATTATAAATCGAAGACATTTTGCTTGAGTTATGGGGCTGTACAGTAAAGGAAGCAAATTAGTATGAAAGAGAGGTGAACAATGTCGTCCCCCTTTTCAATTGTATCTGGTAACCTTTGGGGGAACCCCTTCTAACCTTTAGAAAGTTTGAAAAAAAAACAGTACATGGCAGTGCTGATTTAAGTATCGAAGAGAATGATTTATAGGATTTTTTTAGGTTGAGAAAGATGATAACATGAAGTAAAAAAACTAAGTTGTTGGGTCTGTGAATCAGTATTTTAAAAACGTGAAAGCGACCCGATCTGCTCCTTACACCAATCTAACAGCATAGCATAGGGCGATATTACCAATGCACTGTGAGGTTGGTGTCAGGAGCGCTCCAGATTCAACCTAGAAACAACACCACCACTTTTTCCATCCTGGTACCGGTCAGCAGTTCAAGCATCTGAGTCAAATACGTGAACTTATGATGTTATAAACAAAATAAATTAATGGAAAATTCTATGCTGCCATTATGACATGACAATGGCAGAGTTTAGACAAATCAAAACCCCTATGAATTTGATAAACAACCACCTGATTGGTTACCACTGTAATGATACACATAGATTGGTTACAAGGTTTTCAGTATCATACCCAAAAAATCAAAATATGAACTACAAGAATATGTAGAAAAATGGGCATATGTCTAATATTTTACACCCATCATATTAAAAGGGATTGACTATGATATTAAGAAAATATCTGTGTGAAAAATGATGATCATGAAAAATGGGGAGAAAATTTTGAAAAAAAAAGCAGAGAAAATAAATTTGTTTGTAAATAGTAGTTACCTCCATTCTTAAAAAGATTAGGGGTATTTACCTCTACTAAAAAGGAAGAGAAAACAAAATTTTGTTTTAAATAATGAAGGATCCACAAATGGGTTGTTATTTAGAAATAAAACTTTATTTAGTCTATTAAATAAAATAAAAAAATTATATATGAAAAAAATATCAAATAAAATAATAAACTAAATTTACAATATAAAAAATGGGTGTCAAACAAAATTTATCAAAACACATGAACAAAAAGTATCAAAATAATGGTTGCATACCTAATATAGGGGCCATTATCTAGTGTACATTCAAACTATAATATTATATTTTAATGCAACTCTTAAAATTATCTTTCTAATATTCCCTTGTGTTTTTAAAAAGGCTAATTTTTTAAACTACCCTTATAGTTTAGCTAATTGACTAACTCTACCCTTACTATCTACATATTGTCTTAAAGTACCTTTAATGTTTCTAACAAATGATATCACAGGTAAGTGTTGACAGAAAGAAATAAAATGTCAAATTTACCCTCTATTATTCTTCAAAATTTCAAAATAAAACCTAACTTATTCTATTAACATTTTAACACCCAGTTATTTGAACAGTATCGATGCCATGGTATCAAAACGGTGCTATTAGTGTATGATACTAAACCATAATTGTTGAAAAGTACAGGGGAGGTTTCAGGAATTTCCATCCAAAGTCCAATGCAAAAGAGATAGCAGCAAAAGCTGAGACTTGCTAATTGAATTTGCAAAAATCCAGAACCCCAAATTTACGAAGCGTTTTGAAAGATGTGGTATGTTGCAGACCACGAGAGATGCGGTATCTTCCTAACATTTCAAAAAGTGCACTCCATATTCTGAAATGCATTCCTCGGTACATAGTCTGCTTTTCTCAAACAATCATTAATTACATCTTCCAACAGGTTCTATACTCTTTCACTATGACTTCATCTGCATATATTGAATCAACGAAGGTGTAATTTTCGCCATGTTCTTCACTTAACATCCTTTCCCCATGGCTGCATGGGCAACTTTTACCGGATTCTATAAGTTCATTATGTCTCTGTTTGGAAGAGGCAACTGTTGTATGGACCTCAGTCTATGATGAATGGCCGAGAATGGCTCTGAGACACTAATTATATATTCAGAAAAGTACGGATAGGTCCAATGCAGATTTTTAATTTTCACTGCAGAGCTATAGACATTCAAAAGGTCAAAAAACTACATTCTATGCACTCATACCTGTAGATGAATTGGCATCAATTCCAAACTAGCACCTATCCCAAATGTACTTTGAACCTACAAATTCTGACCCTGGGCTGACCGTCATTCTCCCTTATGTATTTGTCAGTGTTCCGAAATCAATAAACATCCCTGACATTGTCCCAACTCTCTGCATCGTTCGGTCTTTTCCTCTCGATAAAAATACCCATCCGAAATTCTGTTTCATTGTTTCGGTGTACTATAGTGACAAGTACCTCATCCAAACCGTATACTTCCGACCCATTGATATAGAGAGAGAGAAAGAAAGAATGGTTAGGAAACAACATAAGTGCAACAAAATGGTGGTTATCAGTACCTTTTGTTAGTGGTGTTAGTGAAGGGGTATTTTGGTCTTTGCACTTGTTGAGAATGTTGATGTRTACTGTTATGTTAGTTCGAGTGCCTCTTACTTAAATAAGGGCACTTAAATCTTTTCCAATAAATTAATAATATAATAACAGGTCTGGCTGAATCTAGGGATAATTTTTTTCTCTGATTCGAACCAGACCTTCTCTCTTTTCTCTCTTCTTCTTTCCTCTCCTACTTCTACTTCTTGCTGTTCACTTTACTTTACAATCAACGAACAAGACAGAATTCTAGGACAGATCAAACTTTAACACCTTTCAACAACAATGGCAAGGTGACATATAACGATTCTTTAGAAAAACAAACAACAGAAGTGAATAGAGGTGACATGTAACTATTCTTTTGGAAAACAATTAATAAAGATGAACAATATATTTCTTTTTGAATATTGAAGCATCATAGAATATGTTGRCCATAGGAATTGATTTTGAATGATAACTAAAAATGGACCACTATCTACCATGGTGTGGGAGAGGCCATGCATTAAATTCTCTATATATTCACGTGTCGCTCTCTTTGTATGTAGACGTCTTTTAATAAACGTTGTATCATTTATGAAGTCATATGATACTAGCGGAGAGGCAGGGGCAACTCAAAGCTAAAAAGGCTCGTTCGTTTTGATATTGGGCCTATTTATTGGCCCATTCCTACTTTCATTGGGCCTACTATTGATGGTTCATTGGGATGACGTTGATTGACTGTTTGCCTGTCCGGACTCTAAAGAGAAACGAGAAGCAAGAACCGAGCGGAAAGGAGGGTAGATGACGCGTGTGCCTGTCAGACGAGGGATCACAAGTGTATAAAACCTCTTTCACACGATCTGAGACAACCTGAAATCTGAACCTCCCTTACTACTGATCTCACCATTCTCTCTAATTAATTAAGTCTTTCTCTTTGAAAATCTATTTCACCTAGGGATGRCAGTTTTACCCACAAAACTAGGTCACCGATCCGACCCGCTTCAAACGGGGTGGATTTTCCTTGATCACAATTGCAAGACACCACAAGAAGGTCGGTTTCCTCTGCCCGGTCCTGCGAGCATGACAACTGCAACAAAACCCACCAGCCAAGGAAAGGCTCGGTAACGGACACTGCATCAACCAGTCTCCATTGCCGAGTCCAATTCGGTCAAGGACCGCCTAGCATGGCTCAAGAAGGAAAGAGCAACACACGTCGCAGTAACAAACGACAGGGATGCGGAAATCCGAGAACTCTGACAATGTTTTACCCTCCATTATTCTTCAAATTTTCAAAATAAAACCCAACTGATTATATTAACATTTTAACACCCAGTTATTTGAATAGTGTCGATGCCATGGTATCAAAACGTTGCTATTAGTGTAGGATACTAAACTGTAATTGTTGGAAATAGGTTCTATACTCTTTCACTTATTACTTTGATGACTTCATCTCCACATATTGAATC